ATTGGTTTTTCCTCATCTTTAACTATTAGTTCTTTCTTAGTAATAGTTATTTCGTCCGCTGATTCTTCCTTCTTAATTGAAGGTTTTATCCTTGGTTTTAATGTCACTTCAACGTCTTTAGTGGGTTTTTCTTCATCTTCTTGTTTCTCTTTTTCCCTATTAAGACGTTTAAAAATAGCCTGTTCAGGTGAATTTTCTTCATTTTCTGTATCTATTATAATAACTTCATCTTCATTCGATATAGGTACCTTCGGTTTTTGATGTGATGAAATATATTCAGGTTTCATTTCTTTCGGTATATCTATTATCTCTTCATGTGAGTCTTTGATCAGTTCATTTGGTGGTATTATGTCAATATGTGTAATTGAAAATTCTTCTACTGGAGCTTCTATTGTGGATTTTCGATGCAGTTTTACATTTCCAGTCATAGAAATTTCCTCTTCCTCGTATGTTTGAGCACTTATACTAAACTCTTGTTCTATAGTTTCCTTAGGCTTAAATAGTTTTGGTATGAACGTAACACTAACAATATCTTCTTCATCCGTTATTGATTTTTTCTTTAATGGCTTAAGTGTTGCAAATGCATCTTTTATATTCAAATCAAGTAATGGCTGTTTTTCATCCTCAGTTATTGAAACTTTATGATTGGAATCAACTATGTTATTATTTCCAATTAAATCATTTGGTTTATTATCTTTAATATCAGGAATAAAGTCTAATGTTTTAACGGCTAAATTATTCAACATTTGCAAATTATCTGCTGGGCTTGTGTCATTCGTATCATCTGAAAAAAAAATATTAAATTAAATTAAATGAAAACACAAAAATATAATTAAAAATAGTTAGTACGAGATAACTCCAAGACACCAAACCATAGAACCATAAAATATATGTCAACGCTTCAAATTAATAAAAAAAAAAAATTTCAAAAATATTACGGCAATAAAATGCAAAAATTATTTTGTAGAAAAAATTCTATTGTCTCTCCTATTTACCATTGTTTTTGAAGTTCAACACTGCAACCTATCAGAAAATGTCCACTGAGAATTAAAAAAAAATCATACTAAGTCTCAATAAAGAGAAAGAGTTATAAGTACAATATTCCACCATAAGCATCCAAAAAAGAAATATGTAAAAAAAAAAGGTGTCCAGGTCGTTGCGATTAGAGAAAAAATAAAAAGTAACACATTATAATATATAAAATAAATCAAATGTGAAAAAATGGTTAATCTTTAAAAAAAAAGAATAGTTGAAGAATCTAAGATAAAAATCCATATCATTCAAATTATGATCAAAATTTAAAAACTACATTAACATAAAATAAATAAAAATAAATCAAACATAAAAAAAGGCGAAAAAAAAAAAGTTGATTTATAAATTATAAACAAATTTAATTAATTTTACACACACATAAATTTAAAAAAAAAAGGAAATTTAAATAATAAAGACTTTCAAATAAGTAAATCGATTACAAAATAAAATAAATAAGAAATTCTTAATAATAAGAAAAAAATAACAATCACAATAAAATCAAAAAAATCACTTATTTTTATGTCAAATACAATACCTTCGGTAGTGTTCTCAGATGTGTAATGTAGAGAAGTATCAAGGACTTCAACGGGTGACATAAAATCGTGTATGTGAAATGAATCAGCAACATTATGTGTAGTTGGGAGATCCAGTGTATGATTATTATCATGTGTAATGTAACTTGTAAATAATGTATTAGTGGGTGTATTAAAAACATTAACAGTAGCCTCATCAAAACTAACTAAATCAATGTCATCTAATAACATCGTCTTATCATCAGTTAATTGGGTTACCTCAGGTTTCAACTCAATTACATCTATATATTCAACCCCATCTTTCACCGATTTAATAGTCTTTTTCTTCGTAACCTTTTTCAATCCATCCTCCATCACCGTTGTTGTTTTTATATCAACGGATGTGGCTTCCTCTTCAATTGGTCTAGCCTCTTCGGGCTTAACCGATTCGATTTCAGGCAATGGTTTTGTTTCCTCATCAGTTATTTCGGTTATCTCAGGTTTGGACTCAATGACTTCTACATTTTCTACTCCGTCTTTCACCGTTTTAATAGTTTTCTTCTTGACAACCTTTTTCTTTCCACCCTCAATCACCGTTGTAGGTTTTATATCAGCGGACGTTAATTC